TGCTTTCATGGAAGACATTATTATTCCATTAACCGATTACAAGAAAACACTTGAGAACTATGTGTCTTAGAAAGGAGGAGTTTAAGAGAAACTGGCTCGAGTTTATATTACACATGGAGAAAATCCTTTCTAGTTAGTCCTTTAATCGGGAACTGAACCGGACACAAACTATAAATGTTCTATCCATTTAGTGAGCGCTACATTTTCAGGTAAACTTGCCCTTATTTACATCACACCTCATGCAATTGCCTTTTCAATTGCGAACACTAGGAAGCGGAGCGAGATTGATGCATCCAGATTTTAGTCACAATGATTAAAAATACAAGAGAGAAATCCTTTTATTTCTTAATTAATAAAGTGCTTTGGTTAATAACTTAATTTCAACTGGCAAATATAAATTTCTGAAATAAAAGGGCAAAAATTACCTGAAAGTTCTGCTGAGTCAAAAAATCTAATTTTATTTTTGTGATTTAAAATGCTTCTACTGTATCTGTACCAGTCTGCACTTTCTAATTTCAAAATGCTAAGCATAGATAGCTTAACAGGTGCTAAATTCGCTAGGGAATAAAATGATTGGCATTCTTATCTGTTTTTCCGATGCTAGGATGTTAGATAAATTTAAAGACATCGAGATTTCAGGTGCTTAAATTCGTACAAAATGTTATCTAAATAATAATTCAAGCAAAGTAGAATACAGCATTTTTTTTTTTTTTTAAATCGTTCATCAGGCATGTCATCCAACGCTGATAAGTACACAATTTCCCTTTAAGTATCTTTATCAGCACAGAAAAAAGATTGATTATCGGTAATAAACTTGTAAAACTTTTAATTATCCCCCCAAAAAATAATAACAGGCTGATTTGATTATTTAATTATGACAAAGGACTCGAAGGCTGTTTTGCGTTAGTTACATCCAAAAGGGGGGTCTAAAAACTCCGAAAATCTTTTCCCACTCATCCATTAGTATCAACATACATAAAGGATCTTCGATTGGAAGGATGTCATGTACGCCCATTTTTTTAAAGATTTTACTGTCAGAAACGCCCAATTTATATTCGAGAAAAAACAGCAATTCTCAAATACGTGATATAAAAGGATCATAATTCGGAGTACGGAAATACTGTTTTCGTACGCCCTGAGCAAGAAGTGCAATGCAAAATAATTTCACTCATCTCTCTTCATTATCTTATATTGAAAACTTAGGTAGTAGTATATTTATTAATGTAGAATAACCTCTGCTATTTCTGGAAATTTGCAATCTCTGAAGTGTTCTTTCTGTTATCTATAAACATTCGGTGTGCTTGTCTTTAAATGAATAGAAATGGAAAGGGTTCAGATTCGGATATGATTTGGGTACTATTGTGTTCTTGAATAAGAAGTAATGTTTTGCGTTGAAGGTCTGATGTAAGATGATAAAAGTTTTGCAACATGTCTCAATACGTTATGAAGGTCTAAGCGAGATAAAAAATTATATTTGGGTAAGAACAGCGGCGGAAGGGAAGGATAAAAAGATAGTGTTTATTCTCCAAAAAGATAGCAACAATAATTTTAAAAAAATACTTTGTAACAATATACTTTTTTCCTAACGCATAATTTTTCCGTTCCAAGTTGTTTAAGATGAGAGCTATTAGTGCTATTGTCTGTGGGTTATGACGTATTTTTATTGCTTTTTTATTTCCAGATATTAAAAAACTTCTGGGGAACCATTTTTAAATAAAGTTTAATGGTATGCAATAATTCATAAAGAAAAAAAAAAAAAAAAAAAAAAAAAATTAGGTAAGCTATCCTAGTTTTAGTCGTGTTTTATGAAGCCCTAATATGATCCCATTTTTTAGTCGTATAATAATTTATATGATAATAAATTTGAAATTGAAACAGGTAATTAAAATAATTTGAGCTTTTCAAAATTTCATTCTTCCTTCAATCATCTTTTCTCAACCATAATGCTAAGTCCTGTAGCATGTTCCTAAGTTCATACAATGAATTTTGGGATTGTCAGACTAGGGAAAATTTGTGGAAGATACTCAGTTATAAAGACTGCATAATAAAAAGCTATGTTCTGAGCATTTATTTCTTCTGAATTTGCTATCACTAAACTTAAAGCTTTACATTACAGTAGAATGAGGAATATCCATAATTTTCTTTTCATATTTGTTATATTGTAACTAAAATATATATATATATAGTTTACAAAATAAACTATTTTTAGTTCATAAAACACTTTTTTTTTTCGAAAAAAAAAATAGATAATGAGGTTATTTTTTATTTGCTTAATCACAAATTTCATTTCTTATCCACTAAAGTAAACGACACTAATTATTGTCTAAAACTAAATACATAATCTTATTTTCATTTTTACTACATTATTATTAAATTTGAACATTTTTGACTCGCGTAAAATGAAATACATTTAAACAATTTACATCAAGATACAAATTTTTATTAATATGAAATCATAAATTGCCAATAAAATCCATTAAAAGTTTTATGTTAGAAATTTTTACTAAATTCTACTGTAGTTGAAAATTCAGATAAATTATTACTGAGTCACAACTTTCGTCATTATGACAAATTAAGTTATCAGTATGAAAAACAATAATTTTAGTTTCTTTTTAAGGTTACTGATGTAAGCTTTAGAAATGTTTGTTATCTAAAAATCCTTTCGATGATGTTGCAGTTTTGCATTGTTTTCGTTTGATAATATAAGTAAAATAATGCCACAGGAAATATATAGATAAAAATGCAATAATTATCTGAAAACATTATCAATCTTTTTTCCTCGATAAAGGGAACATAATATCCAGAAATTCCCCCTAATACAATATCTTTTGTAAAGAAGAAAAATTTCGGTTTCAGGAACTCTTCCTGAAACTTCTGTAACGAAAATAAAACTATTTAATTTCAGTTTAATTAATTGAGATGAAACTCCACAAAGATTTCTAAAATGAGTTGCCATGCGCAAAGGCATCCCTTCACACTATTACTGAAAACCTTGTGCTAGCTGAAATAGTTTCTTTACGATTATAGCAAAGCAAATGAGAGTCATCTGCCGAAGTAAGAGATGCTTTCATGGAGGACTCTGAAGCTGTCTGGTATTCATATCACACGTAGAGAAAATGATGGAAACCCTGTTTATGTAGTTAGCTCGTCCGCAAAGAAACCATCTTGGGTCAAATTACCAGACCTTAACTACTCAGCCATTGGTAATTTACAAATTGAAATTAAAAATATGTCTGAAATTTTTAACCATATACTGAAAAAAAGGCATTCTTATATTTTGAACCATAAACATATATATCCTTCTGCCTTTGTAATGAAGATGAGCGTAGAACAAGAAGTTATACGCATAAAAAGGGGGAAGAGCGAATTACTGTCTGCCCCCTTTTGCCGGTATATTATCTGTTTACCTTCTGTGATGCATCCAGAGAAATGTCTCTAAGAAATAACTAAATAACTGAAAGATTCGGCCATGCTGATGAACGCCTTCGAGGAAGTGCCCGACCGTTGAGAAGGGGGGAGGGATAAAGACTTCTCATTCTCATCTTATGTTTTAAATTAGACGTTTAGAGGGCAATTTAAAGAAAGAACACATTCAAAAAAATTCAAGGCTAAAAATAGATATGAAAGAAACAATCGATAAACATTCTTCATCTTTTCGACAAAGTTTGTAATCAATTTTCGACAGCGAAGCACTTCAGAATAATTGACTTAGGAGTTACCTTGAAAGATTAATTCTTTAAAATTTATTTATTGTTTTCTAATACTGATACAAAATTTCTTTGCATTATAAAGATAACATTAAAAAATATTCAATTCTAATCTTAATCAAAAAGAAATAAAATTCTTCAATCTAGGTACATGATCTATGGTGCCAACTGTGTCTTTAAATAATATGATACTAATTTTAAAATTATTAACAAAACATGTTCCCTGGTGTGGTTTTCTTCCGCAAAGGATCCGTTGGCGCTTCCGCAGCGGATCCGTTGGCGCCGATGCGTATTTATTCGCCAAGCTCACCCACGGCTAATCGGCTATGATTTTAGCGGTGTATAGTCAAAGAATGTGTATTGTTAGACATTCTTTGATATAGTTAAGTTGCAAAATATTTATCATATGGAAGGCATGATTTTAGCAGTGTACAAGTCAATTTATAAGATATTTAGCATATAGAAGTTAAATAAATAGGTTAATAATGATATTTAGCGGTATATATTTAACCCGGGAGGACGCACGATGTATTATTTAACACGAGAACGCGCGTCGGAATTAAATGACATACAAATGAAACATATTATTACAATTCAGTAAAATAATGCATTCTATATTAATTGCAACATTTATTATATAAAATAACTCAAAAATAATGTTAATTTGAAAATTAATAACAAATAAAAGTACTTACATTTTCTTCAGATGACTAGGAATCATTGATTTCTAAGAGAAATTTGTGTTTTTTATTTTTGAATGCAATTATAATCCAAATTATGCAGAATTATTGCATGGATAATGAGTTATATAATTAATTTTCAAATCAGTTAGGCTCAAGAAGAATTAGATATTTTGTAGTTTATACATGAAGCTTCTATTTCACAGTATTCTTGACATATTTTTTTTTACACTTCACACATACGGTTTTTGATTTCCTGTCTTTTTTTCTTGAGCACATGTAATATCTCCGGTAACATAATTTTTTCTTCTTGAGAATCTTCCAAATCTTCAAGACTGTTTTGTTATGTATTCCTACTGTTTCTGTTATGATTTCAAATGAGAATCTAAAAGTGCAAAGGCCAAATCAGAAGTGCCTCCTATTACTGAATTTCTCTGGTGGAGTTTTAGTAGATAAAAGCAAGATCCTTGATTTTATGCTGGCAATATTTAATATCAAAAATAATATGCCCATCAGTTTGATATTCTGGTCACAGAATAAGTGCCACCCATTTCATCGACTATATCAACTGCTCCTTTTGTCATAATAACATGTTATACGTACATAATACGTGTCATAATACGTACATGTTATAAAACGTAATTACTTCAGATTTCTTCAAATCTCTTATGCTTTCATCAATATGGTCATCATTGTGCATAGTTGACAAAAGGTTAGCACATTTGTTCCTTTCAGCCATATAAGAAAGTAGCATTATATCCTTTTGAAACCCCAAGAGAGTTGAATGCTGTTCTCTATTCTTATTCGACAGAAATTCAGGTGGGATAATCTTATTCTTGCATATTTTTCCCATATTCAAAGTACAGTTCAAAGTTCTAAAATCAACCACAGTAAATATCTTTATCCACAGTAAATGTCTTGCAGGTTTCTTAGGCTTATACTGCCAAAAGGAGCATCGTCCTCGAAAAGGTTCTAGCTTTTCGTCCAAAGTCATTATTTCCCTACATGATATAATTTCTGACAATTCTCGACAAAATTTTCAAACAAATCTCTTATTGGAGCTAATTTATCACTCTTTCTTCTGTCATCCCGTGTTCCGACATTATCAAAAGAATGAAAAGAAAATATATAGTTCATTTGTTTTATGAAAAATACCCAATCTTGTTCCATCAGTCGCCCATAATTCTCTAGCATTTACACGGGAGGATTTGTGCAATCCACCTATGTATGAGTCCTAAAAAAGCAAGAAACTCTTCTGTCTCCATAGGTTTTGCGTCTTTTAAAAATTTCCCGAAATATTTTTTACATAAATATTAGAGCATCTCACAATCATTTCAATCATTGTGTCATCAATATTAGCTTCCATGCATCGATGGGTGAAGCCACATCTTTAGATATATGTGTATTGCCAGGCAATTTTTTTATGATATTATGGGAATCTTTGAATTCGAAAGTGTTCTTTCTTCCATTTTGTTGTATCTTTTCCTACAAAATAGTCAGTTTGATCACAAGGAATTTCTTCCGTAGAGTCGCACTCTTTATTTAATTCAGACTGATGATCACTATTTTGCAGTAATTGACAAAATAACAGGTGATCTTCTCAATAAAACATAAATTTTATTTTTAGTTTAGGGAGATAGATAATTTGAATAAAATTCTTTAGTGGCAAAATTTGATACAACTAATAGCTGGTAAAACTTCAGAATTCTCATTTTAAACAATTTCTTATGTTGCTGAGCAATGGTTACATCATACAAATATCGCATTGCCACTTCAATAATAAATATATATTTATTTGTTATACAGTCAAAAGTCGTTAATCCGGACTCGTCGGGACTTCGACGATTCCGGATTATAGATCATCAGTTTAAATCTGGTAAGATGGCATGCAGAAATTACAAAATTAAAAGTATGAAACCGTAATTTATGAAATAAAGAACAATTATGATCTAAAGGGTATCAAAATTTACAAAAAGAAAAAGCTTAATATTTATTTGTTTACTTTATTAAAAATTTCTTTCAATGTAAGTTGTTTAATTTGCTTCGTTTCATGTGATAAATACTTTCTCTTTAATTCTATTAAACAGACATAATTTCTTGTTTAGTTACAAAGTTCCGCTGTTCAAGTCCTATAATTTCTGTGTCGAGAATACCGACTAATTTGTCAATCGAAATTTTTTCGTTTTCAATAACCTCTGTGTCACTTTCTTCACTATCGGAAGCGAATTATAATGACGAGGAACTTGATTTAAATCATAGACGGAGTACATCGACATGAAATACTACATTTAGTAAGGAATTATAAGCCAAATAAAATAAAAACATCTGCCCAGAAGATAGGATAGTGCTGACAGATCAACTTCCAATTCATTGCCCGCCGCGGCGTCCCCCCCCCCCGCCGCCGCAGAGCAGCGTGAAATTGATAAACAGATTTCAGATTTCGAAACATACTTTCGCTTTGTAGATCCTTTACATATTAGTAAATATATATCGGAAATTTTATTTGACATAATCGAAAGTTCAAGCTTACTTTTATAAAATTAATCTAACAGTCTGCAAAAAATAATAAGCCGGATCCAATTCGAAGATTAAGGAACAACGCAATCTGCAACATTAACTGAATTAGATAATTTTAGCTTAGCTTATACCGACCGTTATACATTAAACGCGCATGCGTGTACGTATTATACGCGTGCGTACACGCATATTTGCAGCCGCAAAGGTCTTACGCGCACGCGTAAACGCCTATGCGCATGCCTTAATGCGACGCATGCGCAGAAAGTTTGTAGCTTTGAGGTCTGGATTATAGATCATTCCGGATTATGGGTGCTCGAATTAACGACTTTTGACTGTATAACAAAATATTACAATATCTTCATTATCTGAATCTTGTAAGAAAGTCCACGTCTGAAAAGATGTTTGGAAACTTATAAGAAATGATGTTCTGCAAATTTACCTTAAAATGGATCTAATTCAATGCTATATACATTAGTGCAATTTAGAATATCCAAAGTTAGAATGGAAAAAGCAATATTCTCATTTCCATTTATGAAATAACCAATGCTGTTGACAAATTAATATGTACCCTAGGATAATTCCAGTTCCAGGATATTATTGAAATTATTTCTGCTTATAACAGATGTGGGAAAAACCCTGATGAAATTAAACATGACAACATCATTTTCTTCTGAATGATGCAGCCATAATGTATGAAAAAGGCAGATGAAACACTTCTCAAAATGCTGTATCAGAAATGAGTCTTAAATGCTTTGCATGAAAAGTTCATGAATTCTTGCCAGACGTTGACAAACCTAATTTTATTCTAAGAAGGATATTTTTAAATCTCTGTTATAGTGAGAGTCTTTGGAGAGACTGCAGCTGATATATTAGTTTTGACGAAGTGGGTAACATGGTCAAGTGAGACTGTTATTAAGCCAAGCAGTAATAACTTTAGGGGGCAAGACAGTGTGAAGGCCCAAGATAGTGAATACTGAAGATTCAAACTTGGGTCAAACTACCAGTATTCAGCAATTGTATTGCTCAACTGCTTGTGAACTTGAACAAAAAGTATGAATATCTTGTTAGTGAAACCCAGGACGTAAGAAAATCAGGAAATTTATAAAGTTTTCAAGATTAAAACATGGTCGATTTTGTTATGAATTTCATGATTCTGACATGTTTTAAATACACTCCTGCTACACAGATAGAGGCGGAATGATCATTGTCCTGCTTACAACAGATACATCATGTCAATGTAGAATCTGAAGGAAAGTTTAGGTTATTCGAATACGGCAGAGAATACCGGCTACGGACCTGAAGAAAGATGCCATTTTGAACAACTTTCTAAGGGAAACTCACTTGTATTTGCATCACATATGAATAAAACTAGAAAAATCAACCATGCAGCCAGCCCTTTAACAATGATATGAAACCATATCAAACTACCAGTATTCAATATCAGTTGTAGGCAAAATCTGAAGAAAATGCTTGCAATATCATGTAACCAGAAATTAACTATATGTTGCATAGCAGGATTACTTTTGCAAGTTTCGAGGTAGAGAATACTACTTTTTTTGGGGGGGGTTTCTTTTTCTTTATATAGGTATTTGGCCATGGTATTCATTACATATATTCTCTGTCATTCATACAGAATACTAATATTTTTAGTAAAAAGGGTCTTTTTCATTATTAGTGCTTTTGCTTGTCGATATTCTCAAAATTATGTTTAATAATTAGTGCTACTGTACATTTAACAAATTAATGGATTCATTACTAAATAACACAGTTTACAAAAATTTTTCATTTTAATTTACAAGCTTTTCAAAATATTTTATTTGCTGATAGCTTAATTTTTTTGAAACAACTGTCTTTTTCATTATAAATTTGACAATGCCAAGTCAATAATATTCAAATCCTTTAAAGTAGCATTGTAAATAACTAGAAGAATAAACATTTGCATCTTGTTATCTTTCAAGATTCATTCAAACTTTGATTAATTACTCAAAGCAGTGGTTTAACACATTACTAACTTTGTTGTTTTTGGGAATACATAAAAGTATTTTGTCATCTCAGAGAACCAATAATATTTTTTTTTTATTCTAATCATCTATTGTATATAAACACCTAGCATCCTCTGAAAAATAATTTTTAACAATGCATTGAAAATATATCAAATTTTTAAGCATGAAAACTGATTTAATTCTTATTATTTTAGGTAAAAATAACAGTAATAAAAATAAAAACGTAATTATTTAAAACTTAAAACGTATATTATTGCGGCCCACGTTAATCCTAATATTTTAGAAGCCCAGTGGTTCTGCATGTTTAAAGACTTTTAAAAATTACGGAAGAACACAGACATACTATTCAAAAAAGTCGTGTTATTTTCACCACCTCACCCGGTAGTGACGCACCGGTAGCCAGCGGCAACACGGAGCCCCCGAACAGACGAGAAATAATCTCTCGAGAACCAGGTTGCTACCTCCGACAAACCAATTCGCCGGGTTACCATCTTTGAACTTTTATCGCCATTTTTGGCGATGTTTACATTTAACGGATCCTTTGCGGAAGTGCTTCCGGAGCAGCTCTTTAAGGATTATTCTACAATGCCGAACACTTGCTAAAGATTAATTTAAAATTGCACTGTAGCATTACATTACGCGGAGGTGGAGACTAAGCAGACTAAAATATTGTTGCCAGACTGTTCGGACATTAAATGATATTTATTAGTCAGGAAAATACAGAAATTTTAAAATATCCAAAAGTAAAAAAATATACTCCTGATGCTATGCTGTGTCCTGAGAAATGAAAATGCATATGAACGACAGCAGGCACCTTTGGGAAAAGTATCTCACTCCTTTGTCAGTGCCCGGATGAGGTTGTTCTTTTTTGTTAAAGGATATTTTCGATCAGCAAGTAGCTTACTCTTTTGAAGGGTTTAGTTTCGGGGATATTGTGCGGAGAACAGCCTTAACGCCAAAAAGGGGAGAAACAGCATATTATGGTAGACCACGTTATCCTTGTCATCTGATGACGTACTTCCTCTAGTAGGACAGCGTCTGTGATAATAAATAACAGTCTGTGATTAAATTGCTTCATGGACAAAGAATTATTCATACTGAAAGCCTTTGTTGAAACAACCACAAGATGAATTTATGCTTTTAGTGTTAACATAATTCGAAACGATCTTGTGGCTAATGATAATGTCAAGTGAAGAACTGCGAACACAAATTTGGTTCGATGGAATAATTAATTTCAAGATACTTTGTAATATTTCACTTAAATATTTAAGCACATTTATATCTTCGAGCAGCAGTGAGTCGTGAACGAATCATTAGGTTTGTCATTACTATGTTAGTCTACATTTTAAACCAACATTTATGCCCAGTGCTAACATAATTCAAAACAATCTTGCAGCTAATGATGTCAAGTGAAGGATTGTGAACACAAAATTGGTTCGATGGAATTATTCACTTCGAGATACTCTGTAATATT